GAATGTCAGTTTATTTGTGAGCGTTGTATATCTGTATTTGTACCTTTCGAGAATTTGATGGTGCCTCTCCCGGCTGGCTTTCTTGGATTTATATATTTTCTTATTTTGTCAATTTATTTTTCCCCTGTACTCTACCAGCAAAAAATTGATAAAAGATGTGATAAATTAAGTGAAAGGAGTAATAGATATCTACAGGGATATTGAAGTTTGAATGCAGATCAGCAGTTGTTAATTTTATTGCTACATTTCTCAGGGGTGGGGAAAAGTTGGAAAATGTAGCTGATTTCTAGAGAAATCAAGATATAGAAATTGTTGCCAAGTTCCCCCCTGCTTATTTCCCCCAATTGTGGGGTTGGGGATGTGAGCGCAGAAAAGCTTGCCCCCTGAATCTGTACTCGTAATCAATAGAGTTATAAACCATACTTTACCATATCCAGCTAATTTTGTCGGTTATATTATCAATTTCTTTGAAACAACCTGAACTTTATATTTGATTTTATTATTGTAAATATTATTATAGCTTCATTGTCGAAATACGAACTTCTTGTCTACGCCTTACAATTGGCCATATAAATCCCCACCCCCAACCTTTATGAACATAGTTTTTTCGTGCAAAATTTGTAGTATCACACGTCAGTTGTAATCAGTGTATGCTTTTATTTGACTCGTTAGACCTTCACTTTGCTAGGCTTGCAGCGTATACAATAACATTAACCATCCAAGCAAGTTGAAAGTTGGAGCGGACTTCCACTGTTTCAAGGATAAAATTGAGCCAAAATGGGAAGATCCTGATTGGGCCAATGGAGGAAAGTGGACTGTGACAGTGATGTATGAACGACTTACAAATAATATCTTCTAATGAGGATTTGACTTGGAAACATAATCTTCCAATAATGTGTCAATTGTCAGCATGTGACACAATAACGTAACACATGGTTAATTAAATTCGTTCGGTGTTAAACTACAAGATATGTACATATTCCTTTTTGAAAGTACGTCTTTAAATAAATATTTTTTTTGTTAATAATCACGGTCTCTCGAATAGGGCATGCGCCTTTGCAACTAGCATGTTTCTGTTGAATAGTGATGGCCACTGTTCATGCATAGTGGAGATTAATTGGTAGAAAGTTTTCCATTCACATTTAATGCAGAGGTTATCATGCATGAGTTTCTTCTCAAATTTCAAATGCAATTGGGAATGACATTAAAGTCACTGAATGGATATGCGTGAATAGCATTGTGCAGCGAGTTAAGAGGGACAAAATTGAAAGATTATCTCTACGTTGCAAATAAAATACAGAAAATGTATTTTTGTATTGCTCTTCTTCTCTTGTTGATATAGTGAAAAATTTGTGCGAGTTTGTGGACGTAGGCATGATTTTCGAACCACGTAAATTA